AGGTGAGCAGAACAAACCCTAAATCCTTATTACTTTTAACACGGAGTATTTTTTTTAAAGGGGTTGGGGATTGATTTTCTGAAAATTTACATATATGTTGCAATCATGCAAAAATGCTCATTAATTACTTTTTTTAGGAAAATTCTCATTGATTAATTAATCCATTAATGTGAAAATACTTGCTCTTTTACGAAAGAAATTAGGAAAATGATAAACATAGCTCTAAGAGTTATGAATAAGGAGCTAGAAGTGATAATATTTGATAAAATTAAGTATTTATTACATTGATTTGCGCATAAATTTATCATAAATTCACAAATTATTTCCATTTTAGAAAATATAATAATGTCCTAAACATGTATAACATTACCCAAGAAATTAATACAGAATATGACTAGAATATGATTATGAATAAAGTAGCAAAAGGTGTGCAAGGTGGCCTCTACGAGCTGTAACTATACAGTGAAAATGAAGTAGTCGTTGAAAAAAAAAATGTAGGAAAATAATAAGTCAACTGTGCTTAAATAATTGGCAAGTGTTGAAGTGTTGTTGGTCGTTGGTCGTTTTTTATACATGTGGCCATCCTATATATCGACCGACTACAAAAGAAAATTAAAAATATATATATAAAAATTTAAATTTTGATACTCGTGTCCATGTGGCAGAACTATGTTACTCGACAATGTTGCAACGTGTACAGATAACATTATATAATTGGATAAGGATATTTTGTGTGTTTATTTATTACTAGTATCCGCGCGTTGCACGATGGTGATAAGCAATTTTTTCAGATTTCTTTTATATCTTTTGTTGTTGATAACTTTTTAACATGACTTACCTCGCTTTTTATATTGTAAAAATAAATTTTGTTACTCTATAAATATTAAAAAAATAAATAAATAAAAAAATGTACATCATCCCCCCTTTTTTTTGTTTTAAATGATTATAATTTAACGCTACATCATAATATTTACTATGTTATTGAAAATATACTAAAATGATGGTTAGATTAAATATATTTCGTATAAAATATTGCATTATCTAATGAGCTTACACATTTAGAGTGGGAGCACAACAATATTGATGTTAAAGTCAGGTTTGGATTTTTTAGTTTCATACTTGTTTGGTTCCAGTTTCTAGCAAATAAAATGAAAAAGCTAAAAAAATGATGACATCATATATAAATTTGGAGGAAAATTTTTTAATGAGAGCTTGACACATAAGACATTTTAGGAATTGATGACATTGGAATGTTTTGTTTTAGTAATAGTTAATAGATTATTTTTAAAATAATTTAAAATTAAAAAAAATGAATGTTTTCACCAAATCATCCTAATATTATCCATATTTAGAAATTAGAGTTCTTACATTTTATTACACCCCTTAACATCTTTGTGTTTTCAAATGCTACTAATTATTGCAGCAATAAAAATAAAAATTTACGGCTCTCTTTTCTTTTTCTCCCTTCTCTCTCCTTTCTCTTCTAGGGTTTTAATTTTCTTGGTCGTTTAAGGCGGAAATAGTCTAATTTCCGAAGAAATTAGACTATTTTCGACCCTTTTTCTTTAATTCAATTTAGTTTTTTGTTTTGTGTTTAGTTTGTTTTGATTTGCTTTGTTCTCTCCATATGTGAGAGTCTGTCCCAATTTTTTGGATTTTTCCCAACTCTCTGGGATTTTAATTCTCAACCATGGATGAGAATTTTATTTTTAGGGTTCTTAAAATAATTGGGAAAGTGATTTGGATTCTTATGGGTTTGGGGTTTGTCATCAACTTTTCGATCAAATCATCAGCGCATATTACGAAGGTCTCTCTTTAGAAAGATGCAAAGACATCGAAAATCATTGCTCGCGTTAAGCTTGAAGCGGTGGGGTATGAGTTATGCCGAATATGCAAATTAGTTATGATTTTGATTGTAAAAGTTAGGGTATTTTCTCTAAATCTGTGGTTTACAAATCTTTATTATTGTAGATGCCATATGGCTATTATTTAATGATATTATTACTTCCCTTTCAAAAAAAAAAAAAAAAAAATTAAAAAAAAAAAACAAAGGACTGCACGCCTTTTCGTGTAAATCAAAGTTATAAAAGAATGAATTATCTCTTAAATACTAGGGCCCGTTCGATATTGTTGTAGTTTTCTTAAAAAAAAAAGAAGTGAATTTAGATTGGATAATTCCTTCAAAAAAGATTTCACTTTAATATTAGTTATAGATTATGATCAATAGTATTAGGATTACAACCTAAGCCATTGGCTTGATCTTCTCGTCGTTGGTTAGGGGAAGCAATACAGATGCTAGGCATCTTGAACTCCTTACAATCCCAATTATTTGCCTCGTAATCATTTTATTCTGTACTATATTGAATTTTGGTTGAGTGGAATTGATGATAAAGAAAAATAGTGGGACCTGAGCCTTATTTGGGTAATAAGCGCATAATATAGGTGATCGTGGCCTGAAACGGACCGAAGGCAACAAAAAAACCCACTTGGACGGATCAGCGGATTGGCCCAAGGTTCGGGTTGAATATGCTTGTTTAGAATCCAAATTATGAACCACGCCTAACAAGCTTTTTCATGCTGGGTCAAAAAAAAAAAAAAAAAAAAAAACTTTTAGGTTGGGCCAAACTCTAGGCCAAATATACACATAAAAAATTATAGAGTAGTAACATTGAGTTAGATTCCAAAACCATTGGGTGTTTGGTTCACAGAGTCAGAGTGGAATAAGTTTGAAATAAAGAATGAAAATAAGGTGATATAGGATTAGAACTTGATATTTAAAAGCGTGTGTTTGGTTGTAGCTCGGGAACATATTTTTTCTTTTATTTAATTTATGAAGGTCTGGTATGAGCTTTTATACCAATTTCCTCCATTGGGCTGTTAAACCCAATACCTTAGCTTCACCTTGTGGGTTTAAGGTATGAGTTTAAAAATTAAAATCATCTTTAATAAACACTAAGTATGAGTTTTAATTATGTGAATCCCATATGTCATACCAAAAACCCGTAAATGAAACACTGAAGATATATAATATAACCCTATTAGCTTAGATAAATCAAGTTGTCCATATCCAAACTAATAAAAAAGGTTCAACTTGAACAAGGTTAGTGCAGTAATATTTAGTGACCGTGCATAAGATCGATCTTGTCATTTTCAATAAACGAAAAAGGGAACTCGATAACCTTAATTTACATTATTGTTTATTAAGCTTATTGTCATTTCAATAAGAAATTATAAATAAAATTAATGATGCAACTTCTAGCTTATCCAATCTGATCCGTATACAATATACAGGTTGTATGACAATATTACTCGCATTATTGAGAGAAAGTGGTTATGACTTATGAGGCATATGACTCTATGAGTACTTGAGTAGACAACATTATATACTTCGTATTATTATATACGTAGTATAAGATTTCTTTGATTAGGGGCGAATATGTGAATAATCAAAGCATCGATTTCTCACGATATCTATTATTTGCACAATTAATTTCTTGTAATGAAGCACCAGTAGTATTACTCATTTTGTTAAGAATAGCGGTCATTTGTATTTGATCAGTGCTAAATATATACGTATAGTAGCCAACGACAAATATACTCTATAATGAAAAGATAATACTAAATAGTGATCAGAGAAGAGAGTGAGGGATAGCTCAATTGGTAAGGGCTTTCCTCCCGGTTTCAGGTGATTCTGGGATCGATTCTCATCCCCGCCTAAGTGGCTCATATGAACCAAAAAAAAAAAAATAGAGATCAGAGAAGAAGTAACATAATCACATAAATTTACATACGTGGTACTGTCAAGTGACCTAGGGTTTGTCTAGTTCACCTTATTTTCACTTATATCAGGTGTAATAAGTTCAGATAAGTTCAGTTCAGGTTTAATAAGTTTTGATAAGGATTACCCAAGTACAAATTACAACTAAAATAAGTTTTAATAAGGTCTAATAAGTTCAGATCAGTGAAAATCAGGTGAATAAAACACACCCCTAATCCAGTGTCCGATTCATAGGTGGAATAACTAAGAGTTATTCTTAACATTTGATCGATATATATAGTGGAGAAAAAAATATGATTACGAATTGTCATTCAGATCAAAAGAATAAATTATAGTTAATCACCTAAAGGTTTCCTTTCACTACAAGGTAATAAAAAAACCTTAACTATTCACCAATATATTCACCGTTTTTTTTTTTGAGCTACGAGCCTACGACTACTATCTTGTGTAGGTTTGTTATGAATTATTTTCATTTTTTGTTAAAAAATTTAAATTTAGATAAAATAAGATAAGGAAAAAATCGCCTTAATAAATCGTGTATCCAAGTCACAATTACGTAACACATAATATTTGCTCAATATTTAGGCAAAAGTGGATCACACTAACTTTGGAGAAGAATACATTCCTTTGTCAATATATTTTTTTTGCACCATTACTACACTTATATTTTTATTAATCCAAATCTTACACATTGAAATTATATTATGCCATAAAATTACCATATAGTGAGAATAAATCACGAGTAAAATTGGTAGCACATACTATTCTATATGTTCAATGTTTAATTGGGTAGTATCACTAACTTTGGACAAGAATATAATTCTTTATCATTATTTTGTTAAATCACCATTAATAAACTTATATTTTTATCCAAATCTTACACTAAAAAATTATGCAATAACATTACCATCTAGTGAGAGAACAACGTTTAATTTAGCAACAACTACATTATTCCTAAACCCTAAACGATCTAACTTTGAAATAGAAAAAAGGAAATAAACCTTTTATAAAACGTTTTCCAAAAGTTCCATTTTCACAGAATATTCCCCCCCCCAAAAAAAATGTAATTATACCTACTCCTAATAACTCATTAACTCTAACAATAAATTTTAATTAATAGTTCCCCTAATTAACGCGAGTTTGACACGAACTCACGTGATGCTTTCTTTAATATGGGTCCCACATTTGCTTTTTTCCTATATAAACTTCCTTCACTCTCGCATTCTTTCCTTAATTTAAAAAAACCGTAATTTTCTCACATTAATTTACAACCGTCCGATCTTTTTACTTTCTCTCTCTACAATTAGTGTTAAAAACGGCATTTTTTCGTCCCATATAAATCCCCCAATTTTAGCGACGCTATCAGCTCATCTCTGCCCCTTCATACTTTCTCTCTCCTCTTTTTTACTTTGCTTTTTTCGTATCTGAAAAGGTCAATATTCCGGTGCCGTCCCTCGCCGGGGACATATATTTTAAGTAAGTCTTTAATTTGTTTAGTATATTTTGAATTTATTTTGATTAATTTGCCCATTTGGATTTTTTTTTTTGAATGTTTTAGATTTTAATTTGAGTATTATGAACTGGGTTTTTTGATTTTGTTTGATTCATGATATGCGGTTGTTTGATTGATTGATTTTGGGAGTTTTCTGGTTATCTAGCTCAAATTAAATTTGTGGTTTTTTTTTTTTTTTTTTAAATTTTAATTTTTGTTAGATTCATACTGAATTTTTTATACGAAAACAAAAATTAAAAAGCTGTAATAAAATTAATTGTATATAATTAGACTGGGAAGAATATACCTGGAAAAAAAAAAAAAGCAAAAGCTTGCTGGTATATTGGTGGTTCACTATCTTTGACAATTATTTGGTCAAAAAGTTCATGTATTGAAAGTGGTGTTCCATGTTGTGTTGAATTATTCTATTTTTATAATGTCAATTCACTTTATTGTTTAAGGAATTTGAAATTAATATGTATGTATTTATACACAATTTTGCAAATTCTTGAATCAGAAGGTCTGACATAGGTTTGGGTTTTTTTAATCAAATTTGAAGATTGGCTTTTACTAATTAGTGATTGTATTTTTGGATTTTGAATTTGAAATTGAAATTTGCAAGGTTAAAGATGGTTTTACTGGTGATGTAGTATACAAGAAAAGAGCCAGAACACTTTCTTCTAGTGGTTGTGGATCTCTTGCTCTTTAAATATGGGTTGCTTTCATTCTACTGCAAGTAGGCAATGTCCTGGACACGAAGACCCGGTTTTCCTTGCTTCTCAAACTGCTTGTAAGCTCATCCATCTATATTTACCTTAGATGTATGCTATCGATTAAAAGTTTGTGATCGTTATGAACTCGACAACTCTCTGATCTTGGATTGGATTTTCAGATAACCTGATTGTATGAGTAGAATATATGATTGGTGAGGTTTTGACTGAACTAAAATGAATTTTACTCTCTTTTCAGTTAGTGTTAGTGAAGTTGAAGCGTTGTTCGAGCTGTTTAAGAGCATAAGCAGTTCTGTGATTGATGATGGGCTTATAAGCAAGGTATACAATATTACCATGTTGGCTTTGAGTATATTCTGTTGCCTTGTTGCTTGTGTCCGCTTGTGAGGCATGTGAAACTTCTGTTTCATATGCATGTGTACGCTGAAATCCCCTGCAAGGTTGTACTACTTTATAAGATTTTTTTATTCAGCTTAAGGTGTAGTAAAGATTCACTAAGATTTTAAGGCCATTATTACAGTGTCAATTAGATGTTGACTATTAGCTTATACAAATCTTGATTCAACCCCAAATTCTGACAAACATGTCTGAATTTAGGGTCTTGAACAAGACCGTTCTACCCGAAATCGAATATGCAACATGATGTAACTGAAAGATATTGGATCCTTAATTTCAACCAGAAACTGAACGAACCCAAATTATTGGTAATGAATGTGTCCCAGTGTTTGACTTGTCTGATCTTGCGTAATTGGAGTTGGGTTTTGATTCTTGTACTGTAGCTTCTCGATTGCATCCTTAATTTCTGTATATCCTGTGCATATGAAATATTTCTGGACTATGTATGGCTTTTCCTTACCATAGTATAATAAATGTATGTTTGCAGGAGGAATTTCAGTTAGCTTTGTTCAAAAACAAGAAGAAAGAGAATCTTTTTGCTAATCGGGTATGTTGCTACTGATGTTGTACATTGAAGACACTACACCTTCAGCTGTATTCTTCTTTATCTGTTTTTAATTTGATAGTTTGTGTCTCGTAAATATTATGTTATACCCTTAACAACTGCGAATCCTTTTATACACAGATCTTTGATTTGTTCGATGTTAAAAGGAAAGGAGTAGTTGACTTCGGTGACTTCGTCAGAGTGTTGAACGTCTTCCATCCTAATGCCTCCCAAGAGGATAAGATAGACTGTATGTAACCTTGTTTTATACAAAGTCTCTCTAACATCGTCCTACATATTGTATATCTGAAACCTGGGTCATGTATATCTATTCACACTCATCCTTTTTCTATTGCAGTCACATTTAAGCTTTATGACCTGGATGGCACAGGATATATTGAGCGTGACGAGGTATGTTGGGTTTGCTATCCCCTAATCCTCAATCCTCAGCTTTCATTTACAATCTTTGATGTCTGAACAATGTCTTGTTTTATTTTGCAATACTGTGGACCCTGCTTTAAGGGATCATAAATTTGTGCAATATGGTTGTCGGCTTGTTGTTGGTGTTGTTTGGCTGTAGGCAGACAGATCTTCATTCAATGCTTATTGTCTTGTTCCTGTGTGAGGTGATTTTTGCCTCACAGTTCGCAGTTGAGGTGTGGAGAGTTATGTTGGCATGTTTGTTTGATTTGCTCTTTTAATCTTATAACATTGCTCAATGTGATTTTCCTTCTCTTGGCCGGTCATATAACCTTGTATGATCATTGTGCACTACACTATAGTGATTGTGGAATTAAATTAAACTAGTGATTAAACAGGTGCTTCAATACCAACGTTTTTTCAATCCGCAAGTGCTATTTGGTGTGATGCTTCGCTGAGTGATCCTTTAGGTTGCATAGTAGTGCCTTTATTGTCTTAGTTGTTCTAGTATGCACTTGATCATAATTCTACATGCTTTGTAAAAGTACACTTGTATACCTTGCATGTTAGCAAGTTTGTTATAATAATACTCATATGAGCTGATATTCATATTTTTGCAGGTGAGGCAAATGTTGATTGCAATTCTATGTGAATCTGAACTGAAGTTGGCAGATGAAACAATCGAACAAATACTTGATAAGGTAAGGTTAACACATTTCCTCATGTGCTGTATTCTTGAAGCTAATTAGTTGTCATAGAAACAAGAGATTATGCTTTGTTCTGCAACCTAATTAATCATATATATGGTTGTTTGAACAGACATTCAAAGAAGCTGATGTAAATCTAGATGGAAAGATTGATAAATCCGAGTGGCATCAGTTTGTAACGAAAAATCCTTCATTGTTAAAAATAATGACACTCCAATATCTCAGGTATTATGCGGTCATTTTCTCTCGTACTCTAGCTGTATACCATTATGTGCACGCATATCTTTGAGGGTGACTCATCCTGATATGGTTTTGTTTACCTGGAAAACTCATACAGGGATATCACGACGACATTTCCTAGTTTTGTTTTCCATTCAGAAGTTGATGAAATGGCCACTTAAGGAGCTGATTAAAGCTGCTTGCAGTCCCCGTTAAATTTGATCCCTGGGGCAGATTCTGCACATATAGCTAGACCCCACCTTAATTTTTTGCCCTCTTGAACTATTGTTATCCCAACCATTAAGAAGAGTTGAGGTGTGCTTAAGGTAGCCTGTGCATATTGTTTGTGTGTCGAAAAGTTGAGGTGTGCAGTATCAGTTGTGCTCTGGCTTTCTAGTCTTAGTTTGTTAGAATTAGAGAAAGAACATCTATCTTAAAAGGGAAAAGAGAACATTATATTAATACATTCAAAAGCAGTTTACCTGTTGTCCCATTCTCGGCTTTTCTACCCTATGTACATTATATTTGTGGTTCTACTGAAGCTGTGAATCCTTGATGGTGGCAACAAACATGCCATCTGCTTTTTGAGGCTTTGAGAGAAATATTGCTGTCGACTATTGACTGTAAAGGATAATTGTTGGCAAAATTGTATAATTTGACCCAATAAGTGACAACTAAATCTGGATGGAAATTTTGTATTATGTTTGTTTTCAGACGCGCAAGAACACGTGTCGAACAAACATTATGTCGGAACGTTTGTAAAGCAATAGGATAGTAGCAAATTGCAATAATGGAAGCGTGAAGTAGTTGAGTTAGTTAGAATCTCTTACGTCGGTATAATTGGTGGTTATGCGTCATTCTAGTCAACGTTTGGTTATGTTGGTATAATTGGTGGTTATGTATCGTACCAGTCAATGTTAGGTGCAGTTGGCCTAATAGAGTTGAGGCATGCATGATAACAAGATTAACAACTTGTTTGATGCCGCATCGCAATTGAAACCCTCAAGAGCTGCAAAGAGTAAATATAGAGTTGTAAATGGGATGTGATCACAAGTCTTTTTGATACTGAGTAATTTCTAATGTTGATTTGACGATAGCTGGAAGAAGCTATATATGTATAATTGTATCAAGTGTTTATAATAAATTATTGGTATATGTTCAATGATTTTCCAAAAAACATTGAACGTGAATTCATTGTAGAGAGATTCTTCATTGTCAACGTACTCCATAGCTCAGTTATGACTTTTGATTAAGAGCTATGGAGTGTATAACTAACAAATTTGATGAATACTCTCATTGATCTCCTTGCATCTTGTAAATCATTTGATCTACTACTAGTGATTTTTTGTGGACATGGTGCAAACCTCACCGACTAGTCTATGATTACATGTATGTAAAATTGTAAATCTTTAAGGGGTTCGCAAAATCCTTTTTGTACCAGTCTTTTCTTAGGTTTTTCTCCTCTTCTAAACTCATGGGAGGGGGTGGGTGGCAGGGTGGAAGAGTCAAAGAGAAAATTAGTGAATCTTAATTATAGATTATATATATATATTCCAAATTATACCGTTATTACCCTTAATGAATATTACTTACCTCAAAACCGTGCTAGGAGTGCAACAGGCACTCGTGCGTAAAGACTTTAAACACGGTGTTTGGTTGAGCCGAGCTCCCTCTTAAGGCTTCATTTTTTTTTTTGACATACTTTTTTTTTTTTTTTTTTTTTTTTTTTTTTTTTTTTTGTTCTACCCGCTTTACCCTTTAAGCTAATTTGGATTCGGGGTTCAATTATGAGTGGTTAGGTTCCAATTCCCTCTCAATTATTGTTGCGAGGAATCGAACACGCAGTCGTCCCTATCAAATGTAGTCTGGCATTTGGAATTAGTAATTTTTTTTTTATTTTTTTATTTTTTGACTTAGATTTAGTAATTTACCATTCCTCAACTCTTCTTCATGGTTGGGATAACAATAGTTCAAGGGGCAAAAAAAATCCTAATGGCAATTTTAGTACTCCATCTGTCCCTATTTTTTTTACCTCATTTGATTGTGTGCGATCTTCAAAACGCGTTTTAAAACATCTATGTCTTTATTTCCATATACGTAAAAATTATAAAAACACGATATTAATAAATTATACAATTAGACGAATTTAACATGACTACTCATAACTATATTATCTTTTATAGATTAACGGTAAATTATAGTTAAAATTTTCAAAGTTTGACCTACAAATGGTAATGGGGCAAAAATAAAGGGGAGGGAGTATTTTAGAATTTCATCAAAATCCATTCCAACAAATAATAAAAATGCCGGAAAATTTGCAGAATCTAAGAAGAAGAAAATCGATGGGCACCGCATTTTCTTCGACATTTTCCGCATTCTGCTCAGAATTATCTCGGCTATCCTTTTGCGACAGTGTAGTTTCATCGGAATTTGTTGTTGAAACTTGAAATGCTGAGAATTTCAAAGATATAATTCAGGTTATGTTACAAAAATCTGGCCTACTTATTTAAATTTTCGTATACCTGTAATTTTTTTCTTCTTTAGGTTTAATTTGCATCAATTATAGTATGAAATTCGATCCTGATAATATTTAGTTCAAATGTGCTTTATAAAATGAAAATTGCGTCTGATAATTAGTGATTTATTATTGTAATTTTATGATTTCCCCCCTAATTTTTTCATGGTTTTTGAAATTTTATCATATTTGATTGATTTTGATTACATATTTTAGGCATATTACAATAGTTAATGTTTTATTTTTAAAGAATAAATCATCTTCTCAATTGTGCATTTTTAGATATTCAGCTATAATTAAATGTTTCTTCATGCAGGCTATGTATTCAATGAATAATGCTGCTACCTGCATTGCTTGAGCTCTGATCTCCAATGCTTCACATTCGAGCATAGCTCGCCTCTCGTTGTCTTTTTGGGTATGACATCTTTCTGCATAATCCATTGCATATAGACCTTGAATAATGATGAATGAAAACAGCATAACATTATCACTTGATATGATTTGGACATTTATTGTTTAGAATAATTACATTGGCCTTCTATGCTTAATTCCGAGAATTAAACCTTTTTTTCCTGCAATAATGGATGGAGTGCTTCGAGAAAACTAAGTGTTGCAATAGTAGAATCAGAGACAAACTAGGCATGTTAGATTCAGCAGTAGGAGCTTGTATTCATGTTGTTGGATTGACTAATATTAGTTTGTTGCTGACAATAAGTTCTTGAACATTTCACGTCTCCTCCCCAAAGGAATACTTTTGGTTGGCTCAATCTTAGTTGGAAGCTCTCCTAATTTTCCAATCTTTTAATACTGTGCGAGGTATTTTGGGATGATTAGCTCTTCGAGAATCAGTGGTAGATACCCCGGTCAATACATGGGCCGGTGTAACATCTTTGATAGCCATGAACTTTCATATATGAGTACAGATAAAATTGAATTTCTTTTCGTTTGACTTGCAGCAGAACTTCATAGGGACATTTACTCATTGTCTGCCTTGCCCTAAAGTCAACAGTTACCACTGAGAATAAATCCTGTGAAAGGAGCGTCTAGGCAGAATTATAAACGCGCAGCCTTACATCAAAGACCCCCAAATTTAATTTTCCTTAATTTTGTTAGCTCAGTAATTTTGATCGACAGTAGGAGAACAAAGAAGTTACCATGTTGATGACAATGCTGAAATTTTTATGTGGCCTTTGAAATGACTATTGTCCATTTAAGAATTAAGATACATAGACTAGTCTATTCCTTCTCCCAATTATGAAATAATAAGGGTAACTTAGAGTGAAGGTGCTTAACTTACACTTCAATGTCTAGGAGATATAGTAACATATTCAGCAGAGTTGAAAGTGAAAGATCCACTCTATCCTTTGATATGCATGGAAAATGGGAAGGTACTGAACCAAGTCACTTGGTAAAGTTGTCTCATATAGTAAACTGTTTTTTGCCTTTCTGATTTCATTTGGAGGTTAATTAAATAAGACATAAATACAGGCACCAAGAATTGTGGAGTCAAAATCCTGCAATTAAAATGCTATTCGTATATCTTATGCTTGCAGCACTGCTGTAAAGAGTTTTTTTTATAGCAAATTGCTTGTTTTATTGTATTACATAATGGATTCAGATATCATGACTGGTCTGCTGGTTACATATTTTAACACAACAAAAGATAGGTCTGCTTGTAAATATATTTACTGATGCCTGGCTGCATTTCTCAGAAATTCAACAAGCCCACTTATATATTGTTCGTCGTGCAGCTTATGATTGCCAAAGATTGCTGCAGCTTGTCTAGTTTGAGCTTTAATCTTCTGTGCCTCATCTCCAAGCATGGCCCGTCTTAGTGCATAAGCTATGTCATCTCCAGAGTATGATCCATCTTCCCTTCTTTTTACTTCAATGCCCAAACCCTTATCTACCATCACCCTCGCATTTAGCCCTTGATCAATAATGAATGGCAGCAGTATAAGACTATGCTCATGTTCTAGTGTCTCAATAATTGAACCCCACCCAGAGTGGAACAAAGAGCCCCCAATTGACTGATGAGCCAAAATTTTTAGCTGTGGTGCCCACCCAAGGCACACAATCCCTTTTCTTGATGTTCGTTTCAGAAAGCCTTCTGGTAATGCCTCAGAATCATCAACTGCCCAAGTGGGTTTTCTGAGAGCCCAGATGAATGGCAACTGCGCAAGCTCTAGGCCATTGGCTATCCCATAAACTTCTTCTTTTGTGAGTTTATACTCACTGCCAAATCCTACGTAGATAACTGACTGGGGGCTCTGTTGATCAAGCCATTTGAAGTTTTCAATCCATGTTTCTTCTGTGATTTTTTCTTCTACTTTGGGTGGTGGGAGCAGGCCTACTGGCACCACAGGCTTGTTAATGAGCTTCTGAAAAAGATCCATGTACTCTCCTTCGAATTCCCTGCAACTGCGTACGCCTACTGCATCACATCCCTGGATTATCTTAGCCAGTCTCTCACCATCTGATATCCCGGATCCATTCTTGCTGTAAACTCCTGCGTGGAATCCTGCAGCCTCGTAACCACGGAAAGCAACTGATCGTGGGAAGATTCCACCCCAGGGAGGTGGGGTTGTTAAACTGTCTGGTGTTGGTCTCACTTCCTTCTGACCTTCCCCTGAAAGGTACTCTGGTGGACCCACAAAAGACAATGTGGTGGCTGTGTAGACAGAGAAGAACATGAACTTTACATTACATTCCCGAGCAACCTCAGACATCCGATAACCTATGATGTCAGAGATTAGCCAATCAGGTGAATTACTTGAAACAAACTTCTTGACAGGCTCATACAGGAGATCATAAGCTACCTTTAGGTATGGGATCTCATCAAACTGTATGTCAACAGTAGCCTCGGCTCCTTTGAGCAGGACACTATCAGAAACTGTTGGTAACGGGATGCTTACATATTCTATAAGGGAGCCTAATTTGGAAGGGATACTAGGAAGCCTCTCAATGTTCCTTGGGGTTGATATGTATGACACTCGTACACCTTTGTTGGCCAAGGCTACGCCGAGCTCGTAGAAAGGGATCATATGGCCGAACGCTGACCATGGAAGCATAACTACATGAAGATTACTAGAGTCTGTCATCATTGAAGTATGAGAATTCAGTAAGCTTTCAGACTTTCAGTGTAATTTTACAGTGGAATTTCTACAATGTTTCTTATTTTTCTTCTATTTGGGATGAAAGGTTCATATAAAGGCTTGGTTTTATATATTATTTCGAACATGTAATATTAACTATAATTAATTTAAATTTGTATTTAATTAATGAATACTGTCTCGATCGGTCAGTAGATTCCGTAAATGGTTATAAGGATTATAAAAAGCATGGAAAGGCAGGTTGCTACTATTCTAGTCGTAGTGGGTGTGCGGATGCATTATGCAAATGCATAGTACCGAGTCAATTATTGCATTTAAATATTTCTAAGTGCGTATTATGAAAACCTGGCAAGTCCAAGAAAGATTGTGAGATCTTTTTGGCCTTTAATTTAGCTTAAGTAAAAAGTAAAAACAAAATTTGGATTGAGGAATTCTCTACCTCTAATAATTTGAGTCATGAATTACTCTAATAACACGACGGTATTTCATCGTGTTTAGATGGTATTATCTAAATACCAACAAGGAATTATATCGATACCAACAAAACATTTTTAACGAATATGTATTTTGGTATTATGATAATATCATCTAAAATATAATTTAATACCAACGCTTGTTATTAGAGTCATTCATGACTCAAATTATTATAGGTTGAGAATTCTTTATTTGGATAGACAATGTGGTTGGTATTCAATTTTTTTTTGTACTATGTAGACAGTTTTCCAAAAGGGATATAATATAATAAAGTAGTACAACGTACTCCGTACAAAGCAGACACATAGGATGGTTTTTTTTAGGCACACAGATTGATTCACATTTAGAAATCTTTTCCCTTCATTATAGGAAAAAACATCTACTGAGTAATTTTTCGGATTCGAGCTAGGTTGGCTTTCAAATGAGGAGAGAGTTCGCTCAACTAATATTTTCTATTTCAGGGGTCAGTTTGTGATTTATGGTTAAGTTGAAACAAATTTCTAACCAACTTGCTCAAACATTTTGGTAATTAGTCAAGATAATTAAAACTCGTATTAGTTAAAGAAATGTGATCAAAACGAATAATGTTAATTGTGCCAAAAGTCAGTATAGTAGAACTAACAATATAGAAGATAATGCATATTATTGAGTAGTTAATGGCCTTGTTTGGTAAATAGCTTTTTAAAGAGAGCTTCTAGTTTATTTTGCCCAATTAGATTAACCAATTAAAAAAAGCTAATTTGGGTGTTTGGTAAATAGCTTATTAAAAAAAGTTAATGGCCTTGTTTGGTAAATAGCTTTTTAAAATTAGTTTATTGAACAATTAGCTTTTTGGCTCTTACATACACTAAGGCCTTGTTTGGCAATTAGCTATTGGCTACTGGCTGTTTAACTTGGCTTATTTGACTGGCTGTTAGTATTGGCTGTTTGTAGTGGTTGTTTGACCATTTGTTGTATGTAAATATGTTTGGAAAAATCAGTTGTTAGCTGTTGGCTGTAACTATGCAAAATTACCTTAAAGGATATTATTATGTGTTCTTATTCATTTATTATCAGTACTATTAATTACTAATTATTAGTTACTAATTTTTAATTATTAATTACTATTACAAAATACTAACTATTAATTATTAATTATTAGCTAACTACTAGTTATATATTAAGTACTAATTACTAGATATTAATTATATATTACTAATTACTATTTTGTAATTACTAACTACTAATTATTAAGTACTAATAATTACTAATTAATATTTATTCATTATTAAGTACTATTTATTATTAATTATTAAGTACTAATTATAGATTAGTAATTATAAATTATAAATTATTGATTATTAGTTAGTAATTATTATTATTATTATTACTATTATTATTATTAATAATTATTATTATTACTATTATTATTATTATTTATTAATTATTAACTACTATTTATTATTAATTTTTATTAATTATTAATTAACTAGTTATTAATTATTAATTATTTTTTTTACTAATTATTAATTAATAATTAAATAATTACTAATTAACTAATTAATAATTCTTTATTAACTAATAACTAATTATTAATTATTAAGTAAGGAAAAAGAAGTAATTTGCTTAATGAAAAGCCAAAACCAAAAAGCTAGTAAGACTAGCTTTTTGTTTTTGGCGGAAAATTTACCAAACATGTAATTTGGTTGTTTGACCAAAAGAAAAAGCCAAAAGCCATTTACCAAATAAGGCCTAAAACAACTAACAATTATTTACCAAACACTTTTACACGATCAACTAATTATAACCAACTAGTCAAATCAGCTAATATAACCAACTAATAAAATCAGCTATATCAATTGAGCAAGCCTCAATTTATAACCTAGATAAACAAATTATGTTTATCAAATGGCATTTTCGTAAATAAGTTACATTGAAAGTTGTGTTTTTTGATTAAAAAATACATATTTTTACTGCTTGTGGGCCACTATAATAAGTTGGACAGATTTTCAAAGTTAACACCATTAACTCTTCGTTTGTTGTATTCATCATCTTCTTCCTCCCACCTTCTTCTTCTTCATGTTCATCTTCTTCCTCTTGTTCATATTTTTTCTTCCCACCCACCTTAATCTTCTCCCTCCAATCTTTGCCCACTTCCACCTTCTCTTTCAAGTCCTTTCGACTCCATTTTCGCCGGTTTTGCCGGCGAAATTAAACGAAAACCCTAATAACAAAAGGAGAAATTAATGGCATGATTAACCCTAATGGGTAGCTGAGTTTTCCTTCCTCCATTAAATTAGACTTCGCTCCACCATTTTTGGCGGCGAAACGAAAACCCAAATAACAAAGTGAGAAAAACGGGCGTGGTTAACCCTAAAGGGTAGATAAGCTTTTCTCCCTCCATTGATTTTGACTTGTTCAACGTCATATAGTGAAAAAGTGTACTTTTCACCATTGAAATTGAAGGGTGAAGGAGGAGAGAGAAAACAACAAAAGGTTGAAAAGGAGGAGAGAGAAAATAAGAAAATACCAAAAGGTTGAAAGAGGAGAGAGAAAACAATAGTTAACCAAAGTTAGATATAATTTACATATACACCTCTTGATAAACAATTCTTGTTTATTAAATTTGTAAACTTGTATTTTCTCATATCAATCAACTACCAACTAATTACCAAACACGGCCTATATCTTATGGATGTGTATGAAGTACGGATTACTGTTTTGTCTATGATTGATTTTCTGTTTGTGATTTTCAATGGATTCGGATCAGTTGTCGTTACATGCTTTAAAAAATTAATGGCCTCAGTGTTGCGTAATCACCGAAGCGTTATACGTCGACTCTGTTAATTGTTTAAGACCAGATCCACTGTTAGAAAAATCTATTTTAATAGACGTACCATTAGAAAAAATCTAACACGCTGAATATCTAACATCATTAAATAGATTTGGTGCATGAATTATCTCCCTATATTAAGCCCTTTTTTAAAATACATGGTATTGTGCTACCAGTGCACTGCAAGCTGCGTTATCCTTTTACACACTGCATCTACTTTTCCAGTTATTCTTTCCGTCATTGCCTTGTTTAATTTGTTTGGCTTTTTACGGTTTTCATTACGCTTACCTTTTCAGCTATTCTCTTTGTCATTGCTCAATTTGACTTTTCATAGTCTCTGTAACAAATATTTGTAAATTCTGTATGCTGTATGCTGTATGCATCTTTGTTGTCTTTGGTTGACCACGGAAGAAGTATAGTTCTACGTTTCACTAGGACCTACCTAATATCCTAGAGCTAAGTCTAACATTCCAAATTCTTGATTTTTCATTATAGACAGTTTCACATATCTAGAAAAATGGAAATCCTTACGAACAAAACTTTCATTTTCTATGTCAACCAAATGACCCATCATTGTTTGTAGTTAATATTCTGCCGTTGTTCCTCCCCATTTACGGACTCTGCTTTCCGCTTCATCTACCTACGAATCAAACACATTCATGCAAGTAAGACAAGATCCTACTTCATAGATTATGAATGGAAAGTGATAAAATTATGATGATAGGAATACATATAACTTACTTCTTTCTTCCAATTAGTGAGGCTTGTAACTATGATCAGCGCAATAGTTTGTAAACAAACACCACTAAGCATCCCTCCCCAAACACCCTGCATTCAAAAATTGATATAGCAAACAAATAAATCAAAGGTTACTAAATTTGAGCTAAATTTGCTACTACAATGTTTTTTTAATGCATGATTACCATAACTCCAAAGCCAAATTTGAATCCAAGAATAAGGTCTGCTGGTAGCCCAAACACATAATAACACGCGATATTAATGTACACGAAAAGTGCTTGCCATCCGGCTCCAATAGCAACCCCTTAACAAAGATGGAAGAAAAATCAGGATCAACCAACATCACAAGGCTAGTAGACTTGCTAAAAAGAAAAAAGTTTCATGAACTTGCCTGATAAAACTGGTTGAAGGCTATTGAGCAGGAAATTTATTGCCAAGAATAGCGCGAGGCTAGTTGTTTCCTTAGCTACTGGTAGACTTGCTGTGAAAAGGAATGGGAACCATTCCTTAGTAGCAAGCACGAGTACAATGGCCACCAATCCTACATTCACTGAAGTTACGGATACCACCCACACCGATATCTTGGCTCGTCTATGATTACTAGCTCCGAGTTCATTTGACACCCTTACACTATATATATAGAAACAAGATAGATATTGATCACATAAAAATCTCTAAGGTTTGTTGACTCATCATTAAGTAGTACATACTAGTATTTTGTAGTATTTTTAGTGTAAGGAGTTACCTAATAGCTGCATTGAAACCAATTGCTATCATTGTATCCCAGCCGTCTAAGTTCATGCTGTACATATGGTGAAACATTGCAAAGAAAAAACATTATTCGACACGATTATAAAGAGAACAACAAAATTTAACCGATAAAAATAAGTGACATAGTATCATTTTGATAAATTCTAAATGAGTTATGTTAGTGTGTGGTCGTCTAATAGAGAATCTAATAAGAGTTGAGTGTTACCATATCGCGAGGGCATCAATCGGTACCAAAGGATTGGGAAGACGACCAGTGATCACGACGATTAGCATTAAGTACCAAAATTCCAAGCTGCAAAACCATGTACAATGTACCTCATGATTTAGAATCAACATCATATTTCATATATACCAGAACTTCTAGCTTGTAAGTTGTAAGAGAAGTCCTATGCTAACTTCAATATTGAGAAATGAGAAAATTAGAAGATGAAAAGGTATGAGATAATGTACCATAACATAACAGCAGAAGCGAAGGAGAGCTTAACAAACTCCCACAAGTCCTCGAATGCTAGCCATGAAAATCCACCCCAAGCACCATCTGATTTAGTTACAAAGATATAGATGATCTGCGCGATGACAATAAGCCACCATGAGGTGTTGAGCATGATTGCAGCTCCAACCAAGCCCCACTCAAGTTTGAGTATGAACAGCCAGCTCAATACGCCGTGTATCAGGAGAACAACGACGGATATCCAAGCCATTACACCCACTTTACCCTGTGCTTGCAAGAACTTTTGTATGGGGAAATTCATGGCATAGGCAAATAGTTGAGGAATCATCCACAATGCAAATTTTCCTGCTCTAGGAAATTTAATAATTAGTGCAACCTTCATTTCAAGTACAAATTCAAACACTATGTTGTAGTCGCAATACTACTGTGTTTTAGAAACATAATTAGATCACCAAGGCCACACCTTCGCGGCTTTACCTTAAAGGCTTAAATGAAACCTTTTTGGAAAGAAGGGAAGGGGATGGAATTTTGTACTAACCAGCAGCAAGAGATCGAAATTTCTTCAGTCTCTCCAAAAAGTTGAAGAATCGATGGACTATAAACATAAAGTGGTATAAGAAAAATCGCGGGGATTAGCAAGATAATCCATGATCTTTTGCATTATATCCCTAGCATCGTCAACCTCCCTGCACCAAGTGCTTGTCCACAAAGTGTCTCTAATGCACTCCCCATTCCAAGCTGCATTTCAACATGATGATTACGGCATTAACATCATGGTCTCAAAATCAAATATATTCAAAGTAATAACCCGAGGCATTGCTTGGAACACACAACACTAGTTGCAACAATTACACTTGTACATTTTATTGACAAGAGTTAACAATAGCTAGATAAAAAGGTGAGGTTAGTAACAATACCATAACACCATAACCAAGACCAGCAATAACAGAGTTCTCCACGGCAACAGCGGCTAGCTCGAGGTCACCTACACGGCCACTAAAGGTCTGAGTAAGAGCACCAAGTGAGTACTAACAAATGCAAGTGAAGATGGCAGGACCAGCAATATGCCATAGCTTCTTTGACTCCCAACAAAACTCCTTTGTTAAGCATAACACCTTTTGCAAATCTTTCTCTTTTGGCGTAAGAAGTGGAATCCTTTCTCCCTTCTCCATTATTCCTCCCTTTTTCAGATATTATCTAGCATGTAATAAATTACATTAAAATCGCCAAGCATGATACTAACAGAATATATAGCTTAGATAATCTTACATGGAAGCCAATAGTGTTATGTCTTCAGAGGAGTGAACAGGGGAGGAAAGGAAAATTAGTGTTAGATTCTTCAATTATTGAAAGGAAAAATGGAAATAAATAATCCCACCTTTGCGTAATCTGACAATAACAATCCCACCTTTTGATAATTACGAGACATTTCCACCTTGGTATACTTTTAATGAACCTTGACTTGTTGGTGACCTATTTTTGTAGGTTGTATGCCACGTGTCAAATTTTAATAGGTTCATTTTATTTTTTATAATAATAAAAAAAGCAAAAAAAAAAGAAAAATACAAAAAAAAAAAAAAAAAAACCCAGCCGCCAACCCCCATCATGAAACCCTAGCCCCTACCCCAGCCACCACCAAAAAACCGGCCGGCCGCCCTCCTTAACCTCCGAAAACGGCCGGCCGACACCAGGGTTGTGTTTTTAGGGTGTTTAAGAGGGGTTTTAGGGGCTGAGATGGGGATTTTTGGGGTAGTTAAAGAGGTTTGATGGAGTTTTTAGCGTGATGGTTGTGGTGGTTATGGAGGTTTTCGATGTGGGTTATCGGCGGCTGAGTGGGGTTTTTAGGGTGATGTTTGTGGTGGTTATAGAGGTTTCGGGGTGGAATTTGGTTTAAGGGGTGATTTCGGTGGTGGTTATGGTGGTTTCGGGGTGAGATTTGGGTCGGGGGTGATTTCGGAGGTGGCTATGGTAGTTTCGGGGGTGAGATCTGGGTAGGGGGTTCCAGCCGGCCGTTTTCGGGGGTTTAGGGTGGCGGTCGGCCGGTTTTTGGTGGGGCTAGGATTAGGGTTAAGGTTTCACGGTGGTTGGGGTGGCTGGTAGGTGGTGTGTTTTTTTCTTTTTGATTTTTTTTCCTTCTTTTTGTTTTTAACTTTTTTTATTTTGACCAATTATTGAGCGACATGTGGCTTTAAATATTTTTTTTTAATCTGTTTAACAGGTTATAGGTAAAAAGGTTTGATAAAAGAAGATGACATGCAAAGGTGGGATTGCCTCGTAATAATCAAAAGGTGGGATTGTTATTGTCAGACCACGCAAAAGTGAGATTATCTATTTTCATTTTTTCTTACTGAAATTAGTTAATAAAGTTTGCTTAGTTGATTCTTTAACTAGCATCAAAAAATACTTTAGTCTTACTGTTTAATTAGGGACTGACATTGGAGAAATTTGCGGAATTGTCCTGAGATTGCTAGCTAATCACATGAGTTTTGACTTCTTGATAAACATGAAATATTCAATTCTAAGTTGCTTGCTTAGTAGAATAGAGTCAGATAAAAGTCATTAGAGAAATGACACTCAAGATTTGGGATCGAATCATCATACAATATAACAATACAGCAATACTTCATTCAGTTTTTTCATTAATTCCTAAACAAGAAAGTTCCTAGTTGAAATTTTGTGTTATTTTTCTTCTTTACTTGGAATTGAACACTTGATGTAAATTTTGTCACGTTTTTAAAGTATTTATTTTAGTTTTATTGTCTAAATTTTGGGTGAGAATGTTTCATTAATTACTTTCTCCGTTTAAAAGTTTTACGAGTTAGGCCTTGTTTAGTTCACCTTATTTTTACTTATTTCAGAAAAAATAAGTTCAGATCAAATCAGATCAGAAAAAATAAGTTCAGATCACATCAGACCAGAAAAAATAAGTTCAGATATCAAAAAAGTTCAGATTATATACAAATTATTATTATTATTATTATTATTATTATTATTATTATTATAATAATAATAATAATAATAATAATAATAAATAGCACAAACAATAAACAGTAATAATTAAAATTTCATTATAAGCTCCAATCATAAACGTTTACAAATATAATTTTCATTACAAGAAGTTCCAAATTTCCTTCGCTATGTTAAGTTGTACTTCGTTCATTACAGCTTTACGATTCTCGTTAAACAAATCATAATCTGCTCTTGGTTCGATTTCTATACCACTATCAATGGGTATATCCAACTCATGTAATCGAATAAAATTGTGACGTGTGAATGTAGCAACCATAATTGCCAATTGATGTTTAGTGTCCATATTTGCCATCATTGTCAATATTTTCCATCGAGATTTTAATTGTCCAAAACATCTCCTGATCGTTGTTCGAAGTGAAGAGTGAAGATAATTAAAAAGTTCAAGTATGCCTTGAGGTGGAAAACATAATACTTGCTTTTTCCTATAAACACCCTTTTCAGATCAAAACAATAATACTTGATCAAGTGGTTTTAACAAAAATATTTGAATATCTTCTTACAAAATATTACTTTTTTTCCTGCAAAAAAAAAAAAAGAAAAAAAAAAGCAATAATAAACGAGTCTAACGTTTCCTATACAAAAAAATTAATATCTTCGTACAACATATTATGTGTATTTTCATTTTTTTTTTAATTTCATATTTTTGGTAACAAGCCTAACGTTTCCCATAAATAAATTTTTTAAAATTTCATATTTTCTTTCCTCCTATTCTATCAAATACTTTTGCTTTATACAATTTTTTATTCTTCCACTTACCCCACAAGCTCCATATATTATTACGTTTACCAATTTTTCCTAAAACTCTCCACATGTAGAAATGGAGAAGGTATTTAAAATCGAAGGGAGTATACGTATAAGGTTTTCAATAATAATAGCTATGCATTACTTTAATTAAAATTAGTACAAAATAACATAGAAAATGTTGCTAGTTCAAACAAACGATAAAATCAAATCCGATACATCATAAATCCATATTATTATTTAAGAATGAAGGTATTTGAAAACAAGTCAAATCTCTTTTTCCTATATAAAAAAGTTATGATAAATTTAATCTGTAATTTAGTTTTTTTAGGATCCCCATTTTAATACTTTCTTATAAAAAAAATTCATTTATAAAGTGGGATATTGTAAATAATAAAATTATCAAATATTCCAATTTTATTACCTTATACTATCTAGTAAATTTAATACTTATAGGTTTCTTTAAAAAATTTGTAGGTCTATAATACTACTACTACTAATAATAATAATAATAAAAATAATAATAATAATAATAAAAATAATAATAATAATAATAATAGTAATAGTAATAATAATAATAATAATAATAATAATAGTAATAGTAATAATAATCATAACAATAATAATTAAACATTAATATTGATTAACATTAAAAGTAGAATATTGAAATAACTAAAATAAGTTCAAATCAGAAAAAATAAGTTTAAATCAGATCAGATCAGAAAAAATAAGTTCAGATCAGATCAGATCAGAAAAAATAAGTTCAGATCAGATCAGATCAGAAAATATAAGTTCAGATCTGATCAGATCAGAAAATATAAGTTCAGATCAGATCAGATCAGCTTAAATCAGGTGAACTAAACAAGGCCTTACTCACACATTGGTTATGTTTGGTAAAAATGATGGTTATCCTTAGTACAAAGTAGTACTCCCTCCATTTCGTAATAATTATAATAATAGAGTGAGCACAAAGTTTTAGGAAAATCATTAGATAGGACGGTGGGGTCCCAAAAAGGAATTTTATAATATAAAATATATTTAGTAGGGATATATTTAATTGTAAATAGGAAAGAGGAATAATAAATAATTAGTGTAAGTAGGATTGGTAGGAGAGAGAAATAATAAAATATTAGTGGGTACTTAGTCCTTACCAAATAAGAAAGTGTTGCAATTATTATGTAACGGATAAAAAAGGAAAGTGTTACGATTATTACGAAATTGAGGGAGTAGTTTTTATGCAAGCATATTTGGTGACCTATGCTATGCGTTCTCATGTCTCAAATATGAAACCTTGATTAAGTTAGAACAATTTTCTGATTAGTCCAAGCCCTTGTTAGTACCTGCTATATTATTACTCCATTTAAATTTTTCGAACGTTGGGTGTTAGTACATCGTCCATTACTTTGTAGAGAGTCTGGACCGAACATATGTTTGTTTTTGGAATGTATGGCATTTATGTAATCATGATAATTCTTGATTAATGTGCTGCAAATTTGTAACACTCATAATTATTCTACGTTTATCTTTAACTCTTTTGACATTGATTGAATTTGTGTGGTTGCCAACTTGCTATCTATTCCACCACACTAAATTGCGGCCGAACCATTGCACCAAACTGAATGACATACATCCATCTGTGGTTAACTTTAGAGTAAGCATAATTAACAACATTAAGACCTTCATCAAGTTGTAACATTTTGAGCACTTTTGATAAAGGAAACACATCCTCCTCTTCAATCGCGGTGTTAATCTCAATCTCTAACTCATCCACGGATGTCTTAATCTTCACGTAATTTTCGTTAATGGAAGGATTAGTATTACTAGTGATGGATGACGAGGATGATCCAACATCATTTGGCATTTCAGATAAAGAATTCTTAAGCTTTTCTCTCTTATCTTGAAGCTCCTTGACATTCTTCTCCAAATCTTTTATGTAATTTGCTGCCTCTTCTATATGATCACATGGAGAATCTCCCTAATAATCACACGTTAATTAATAAATCAAATTATAAATATATAATTAACAAAATAAAAACATCAATTAAATGATGATAATAAGGAGATTGCATGCAACATATAAAGAGTCAACTAAATTGAAAGAAATAAATTAAATTATAAAAAAAGAAAGATAAGAAATTTACTTTGACATAATTTTGGGGGAGGAGAGAGAAAAGTGAGGAGTAAAGTTGGTCAGGCATATTTTTATTCTTTGCCTGAACTACTCTTGGTCTACACTTTTCCTTTGAGGTTTCATCCATTTTATAGCACAGGATCACTACTGACAACAATTTTTTTTTTTTTTTTCAATTCATATGTAGCTGTCATAATAATTTTTGTTATAAAAGAGTAATTAAAAGTATTCTTAATGGCTGCTACTTGTATCTTTAAATAAATAATAAGCTACTCCATACTCTAATGGTTTGGGTTGATTTTTTTTTTTTTTTTTTTTTAAATAAGGTGGATTTTTGAAGTTAAAGTTAGTCATATGACTCATATATATATATATATATATATATATATATATATATATATATATATATATATATATATATATATATATATATATATATATTTGTTTTTTTTTTTTTTTGACAATGAGATGTCTATAACTAACATGAAGATTCTGAAAATTATTGACAGTTTTTTTTTTTTTGTTGTTTTAATGTTTTTGTTTTTAGTTTTTAGATATATTGAAAACTAAAGACAAAATTAAAATATTACTGTAAAAATCTTTTATTGATTAATTATACTGTATTGTTATACTCCGTACCCTTTACTAAAATTGAGGGTCCCTTTGATTTTTGGTTTATCTATGAGACTATGATACAACCGATTATTCCCTCATTTTTACCCCTTAGTACTCATTCAAAGTTTCGCAAAAGCAAACAAATAAATTTTCATGTACTTATATACTCCGTATATATAAAAGTAGTTGTACGTGTACAAATGTACAATAGAAATTTGCCTCTCTCAGTCTCTTGTATAATTGCAACATTAGCTGAGTGTTGAATAGGATATTAATAAAGTTGTACTGTAATTCCTACTAAAGTGCATAGAAAAACATTAAAAAATAGAATGCCATACTATAGTTTAACAGAAACAAACATAAAGGAGTGACTATACTTATCTATTAAAGAACAACGACAACCAAGTATAACTTGTCAGGATATATCTGCTACTACTCAAATGGCATCAAATTCATTTGTCCTTTTTTTTGGCAAATGAAAATGACATTGAAACAATTCTTTGATAGCCGCTCTAGCTGCACGAAAAACGTGGGAGCTAGACATGTTGTGTTCCACGTTATTTAGCTTAAATATCAATTATTTTTCCCTTCTCTTCTTTTTATTGTTGAGTGATGATCGACTGATTTGACTCCACCTTATGACTTAAAGTTAATAAATAAAGGAAAGACAGTGGTGTATGTCATACAAAATCAAGCATTGATCAGTATAATTAATAGTCTATAATTTATTAAGCTTAATATATACTGTATAGTATTTATTTGCTAGAAGGAATATTTGGTGGCTAATTGGCAAATTCTCTACGAAATTATTAGTGTTAAATTAGTTTAATTTGTGGTATACTTATGTTGTTCTTTTCTGTTTGCCCCAAAGCAAATACGTAGTATTTTACTTTTTTCCAGAGATATTCAAAGAATTTGCTTGTGGAATAATGCTTTTATTTTTTATACACTGTGCGATAGAGAGGCACAGAGACTACATACCAAAATTGGTGTGGAACTAACTTAAGATCAAGACAAACATTCACAAATAAAATTAAACTTCGGTAAACATAAAGAGACACGGGGAGTAATGATGTAGGTCATGTTTTCTTCACCTAATAATATTTGTTGAATTTAAAGTAATTTTATTAAAATTATATTTTTTGCTGCACATTATTTTTTTTATTTGCTAATTAAAACTTAATTTTACTAAACATTATTTATCTAAGGTGGAGTAAACATGAGCTAATATTGAGAATTATACATGTGATACAAAAAGTTGTTTTACTTTAGAGTTTAGAAAATATAGATTGACCAATGATTTAAAGTACATTTTACTCGCACCTTATCAAACTTATAGTCGTACACTCGTACCGATGTACCATATATATTTAGCTCTTACGAAAGTTTGGGATCAAATTGTCTATCTTTCCTAAACAGCCAGACACAAGTAAATGGTGTAGAGAAAAAGTTAAGGGCCAGTGATAGAGAATAAAAATCGATCTTGGGTTTCAACCATTAGTTTAAGATTTTGGTTAAATTAGTCTATAAATCAATATAAGCTGATGCTTGAAGTCCAGGATCGATTTATATACTCTATGAGTCTGGAATAACAATTATTAATTATTTTTTTTTTAAGAAAATTTGTGATTAAATCAAGGACGACATTCTCTAATTACGAGAGTTGACAAGTTGTGACAATTAATTTCAAAAGAAGGGAGTATTTGAACCTCATTTTCAATTGGCTTCTTTGTGGTCTTGCCTAAATCAAGGTAGGGTGATGAAGATTTATGTGGATGCTAATCTTATCCATTGTAGAGGACTGGGGTTAGAGTTGTCTTAATGAATCTCCTTACATATTTCAGACTTTACAGTACATATTGCGTAGTTTTTCAGCCCATGTAATATGTACTAGTCTACTACGTGTTTGGGTCCAATTTACTTCAATTGGGCTGATCCATAAATGATTTAACTATAAAGCCCAGATCAAGGTTCAACTCTTCAAATAATTGCCAAGTCGGTCAAGGCCCAGTCAACGTGGCAAACCCACTTGATTTAAAGTCCATTTATCTATTGAGTAAAGGTATAAAAGCCTTCAATCTTCTCTCTCTACATTAATTCAATTCAAGCCTCAAACAATTGATACTCTTGCATAGCTTTCTCTCTCTTCGGCATCGGAGGGACCTTCCTCGGCACAACCCCCAAGGCCAGTTTACATGTGTTTGTTGTGCAGGAAACCCTCGACCCAGTCATCACTTGAACTGAGATCAATCATCTCTCTCTTCGGCATCGGAGGGACCTTCCTCGGCACAACCCCCAAGGCCAGTTTACATGTGTTTGCTGTGCAGAAAACCCTCGACCCAGTCATCACTTGAACTGAGATCAGTTTTCAACCCAAAGTAAAGGACCTCGCCGAAAGTCCAAACACTACGTATATAAATATATAATAATATATTGTTTAAAAATATTAATGATTAGAGTTGAGTAAATATTCATCTTATTTATCAAATCATATACATTGTATGCAAATATGCAACAGACACACTAGAGAATTGATCATCTTATATTGTGATTATATGCCAAGATTGTCAACCAAGAGTTGTAATTTTTGTATCAAAGCGGTTCTCGATCTATAACTGTAATATAGAGCTGATCAAATTTAGCCCGGCCCATTAGCCTTGGCTGAAATTTCTTGTTCGACCTGAAAGTTACTTATTTTATAGTGACCCTAGGATATGCATCTCTAAACATATTAGTTAAATTTTTTGGCCCAACCCAAAAAGCTCGCTAGGCTTGATCTATTTTTGCGGGTTTTGGGCAAGCATGGCACACCCTGCCCTTTCTACTATAATATGTTTACATATGATATTCTTAATACATTATATTCCATATCATATAATAGTGTATGGACTTAGGTTATGTTTAAGACCAACTTATTTTACTTGATATTTATTAATTTATGAAATAATCATACCAGATCTTATCTTTTATATTTGTTCATATCATATTAGAAAAAATAAGTTCAGATCATATTAGAAATAATAAGTTCAGATTCAGTCATGTCAGAAAAAATAAGTTTAGATCATATTAGAAATAATAAGTTCAGATCCGATCCGATCCGATCATATCATAAAAAATAAATTCATATCAATCAGATTAAATCAAATAAGAAAAAAATAAATTATGACTCAATCGTTTAATGTGTGGTTTTTTTATCGTTAAATATCTATAATTTCGTAATTATAAAAATTACATATTAATAAAATACACATTATGACATTTATATTTTCTCTATAGATTATTGTATATATAAGGTCAAAATTTGGTCAAATCGGACAATTAAATCAGATCAGATCAAATCAAATCAAATAAGCAAAAAAAAAAAAAAAAAAAGGTGAACTAAACAAGCCCTTACTTTCTGTCAAATGGATCGATTTTAAATATAACAAGCCTAGTCCTTTTGTGCGGGCATGAGAAGTTAATTATTTATGCCACCCTATTAAATGAGCCTAGAAATTATTTTATATAACTAGTATCATGAATGAGTTCTCATAATCTTTACTTAGTAATTTAGAACTCAATTATTATTATTACTGCATTATTTTTATATATTGTCCTCAATAATTACGTACATTATTATATTACTTTCAATTAATAACAGAATCAATAATTTTTTATTATCTTTATTATTATACAGTATAATATTAGGTGATTATTCTTACATTAGTTACTTCGTTATAATACTTGAATTAGACTTTACATAAAATGATAATTCTGTTCTTATAACTTGAATATATATGGACCGATAATTAATAATTAAAAAATATATACTTCGTATAACATATATTGCACATACAGAGTACAACATGTTTCAATATAATTACACTTTATACAATAGGTATCGATCACACTTAATTAATAATATAATAGTATTTTTCAAAAAATAATGAGTGCGTTTCGTGTGTGGCTGACCAGACCATATGGCCGCTTGTAAAAGAACAAAATAACCCCTTATAACAACCTAACCTAATTACTTTTATAACACCGACGCAGTAACCTCTATAACACTAGTGAGGTAACCCCTATAACACACTATGTGGCCAGGTACATATAAAAGTATGGTAAAAAATAATAGAGTATTAGATTAATATCATAAAATATCTTGTAAAATATTAATTAATGTACTTAATCGATAATTGTGCACACGCTTGTTAGCACATTGCATATACACACTTTATATATCCTCTCACGCAGTCACACGTGTTATTACACAATATCTCAATAGATTAACTTAATGTGTAATTCGAATTTTTAGATATCAATTTTTGAGTGATATATCTTTTGAATGTACGCTTTTTTTAGATCGTTTCGAATCTACACTTAGTTAAAAGAAATAGTCTTTATTAGTCTTGTACTCGTCTAGTCACCCCTCCTATCCAATTTATATACTTGATATGTTTTTAGTTCCGAAGTAAATAACATTTGAATTTAATATTGTCACTTAAAAGCGCGGCAACTTTATCTACAAATACAATTATCAAAAAAGATATTGTCGAACACACCCTAGAGCGAGTGTTGATATAAATAATGTTAGGTCAACCTTCACTCAAACTCACTACATTTGTCTTTCTCCCATTCTCTTGCAGTACTGCATTTTCTTATTTTTCCAGAAATTCTCAGACACCCTTTTTCTTTTAATTTTTATTTTTAAATTTTACTAGATCAAACAATTGATTGAAAATGGCAAACCTTGAACAAGTTTTTAAGGATTGGCAAGGTCGACGTGCTGGTTTGATTAAGGCTCTTACTACTGGTTTGTCTATTTTTTACAAGAAATGGTATTTTGTTTTTTGATTTATTTTTACAAGAAATGATACGAAGAATTTGTTAGTGATGTTGTTTACATTTTTTTTCTTTTCATTACTTAGGTAGATGTTTAGATTAGGCTGCTGATGATAAATTGTGCTTCTATTATCACATGTCTTATATATTGATTGATTAGTTTGCTTTAAACTCATAGGACTTATTACTGAAATGTTGAATTGGTGTTTTCTTTTGCTACTTTGAGGTGGAGGTGTCAAATTTATTTGCCTATCTGCCTTGTCTATGTTGTTAATCATCGATTGATCTAAACTTTTGTGTACTGTATCGTGTACTAAGCTTATACTTATACGTTGGCATGGCGCAACTAGTGCCTTAATTATATTTATTGATCTATTATAACGTTTGGTTGCTAACCTCGTACACACTATATATCCTTCAGTTGTTTAGTTATCAATCTAAATGTGTATATATGTTCATTGTTGAACAGAGGAACTGAACCTTTGCTTATATGGGAAACCAAATGAGCAGTGGGAAGTTAGTCTTCCATCACCGTGTTTACCTCCTGAGATTCCGGATCCGATTATGGGCATAAATTTCTCAAGGGATGGGATGAAGAAGAAAGACTGGCTGAAGCTGGTTGCTATTCACAGTGATGCTTGGTTGCTTTCGGTTGCATTTTATGATGGCGCTTCTTTCCGGTTTGATAAAGCTGAAAGGTATTATAACCCTCTTCTGACTTGTAAATACTATCCTTCTTTTTTCCTGCGAACTACTTGTTGTATAATTTTGCTACATTGAGCACTATTTATATATATGCCTACTTTCCTATGAACACCTCTGCATCATATTCTACGCGCTTTAGATCTGTGCTTATGTGTGTGCCAAACTTAGAAGGCCGGAGTACTAGCTAACGGCGAGTTTATGGTTGAGAGTTGAGAATGACTCTGATAATATAGCTTAGTTGTACACTTGTAAGGTCTGCACTAAGGATTGTACCCTGAAAAGTTATTGCACTCGAAGTAGTACATATGCACATACCATTGTTAAATATGGCCATCTCATGAGCTATGTAATTAATGATGTTTTATTGCATTAGTGCATCATAACTATTATGAATTCTTTTAGTATGTTATATGTATCTTATTTGGTAAATTATGTCGAGAGTTTGTGCCATTATTTATATGTTTGATCTTATTGCATACTTGTAGTTTTTATTGAATTTTAGTTGACATAAATTACATATATGTATGTGATGTAGGGCTCTGTTGTTTGATATGGTGAATGAACTCCCTTCTTTATTTGAGGAAGTTGTGGCTGGCCAGGTAAAACCCCTCACCCTATGCTTATAATTTGGGAGGATTAATTGACATCGAAAATGTTTTGGTAGATTCGATTCCTTTGCTTAGACACTAACCTAATCAATTTTTGATTTGTACTCGAAGGCCACTTCCTCAGACGAAGAGGAGGAGGAAGAGGAAGGCTCAGAAGATGAAGATGAGGAAGAGGAAGAAAATGAGGATAAAGAATGTGGGATCGAATGAGCTTTGGGTCTGCCGTGACATGTGTGAAACATGGTTCCATGCCAAGTGCGTGAAGATGACACCCGCCATAGCTGACCACATCAAGCAGTACACATGTCCATCTTGCAGCGATCAACCATGGCATCAATGCACAATGTCTTGCTGGAAATTATTTGGAAAGTGTTTGGTGTTTGATTGAAATGATATAGCATACAGATCAACTAGAGAATCAATGATTTTTAAAGAATTATTCCGCTACTAATCTTAGCAAAAGATTAGTTGCGGATTGGATTTGATTCAATGTAGTTTGGATTTTTAATTTTCAAATTTTATGTAGACCATATATAAAAAAAACATATTTTAGTTCTTGTGCTCGATCATAATGCTTACAACTATAGTTTCCCTTTCGAGGGTTGGGGAAGGGAGAGGGTCGGAGGGGGAAAGGAAGGGGGCGGTGTCATGGTTTGGGGTGGGGAGGAGCTATCTCTGGCCAGTTTCGAGGGTTGGGGTGGTTGGGTGGCCTGGGAGGTGGGGCACTTTCTGGAGGTTAGGGTGGGAGGGTTGGTGTTTTCCATCTGGTTTGGGGGGTTGGCTTGAGTTTGACTAAACTTAACCAAATACTAGCAGAGCTGACTATAGTTCTGCCTTGGCTCGCCAATTAGCACCCTAGTTGAGAACTAAGAAGTATATAATTTATTTATTTTTGACAAGGAGAAGTATATAATACCATTGAATGTTTACTAAACTCACGATTTACAAATCACATGTGATTAGCGATTATATTATTCTATTATTCTATGTATCATCATCATAGATAAAAATACAGGAGTACATAAGGCAATTTAACAATCATATGATATTATTATTTCCTATTATAGTTTCAATTAATAAAATTTGCATATTTCATATTTTTTAAATTTAAAAATATTTAGAGGGTTTCTTCATACACAACGTTAAGTTTCATATGTGGTTGGTCACATCATGTGACCACAATTAATTGGTTAGGGGTTATTTTGTCAGGGGTCAGTGTTTTAGTGTGTGTTAGCTGACCACACACAAAACGTGCTATTCTTTTTAATCGTCCGTTAATGCTCCCCTCTCATTGATTTTAGATGTGAAATTATTGTGATACACTGATACATACCAATATGAGATATATGCTGATATATATAATCCGATTGAAACTTAGAATAAAAACATGAGACTAATTTGACATGATATTAGAGCCAAATAATTTTATTTTCCATAAACAAGAAATGCACTTTAAAAATATTTTGAGGGTTTCGTTTTAAGCATCCGTTGATCCTCCCCTCTTATTGATCCTACTTCTAAATTACAATATAGATTATAATATAGTTTGTTTTTTTTTTTTTTTTTTTTTTTTTTTTTTTTTTTTTTTTTTTGGTTTTAACGATATAGATGTGAAACTATTTTGATACATAACAATATGAGATATATGCTGATATATATAATCCTAGTTTGTGATAGATTAAACTTTATATATCATTTATCATAACATAGTTAATTGAAACTTAAAATAAAAATCAAAAATTAATTTGACATGATATTAGAGCCAAACAATTTTATTTCCATAAACAAGAAATGTACCACAGAAGTCGTTGAAGAACCAAGACTGTGATATTGTATAAATACTTGATTATTAATGAGAAAAATGAAACCACTATTTATAGAAGTGATTTATGTGAATTTACTAAAACATAATTACTTGACAGCAAAACATAAAATGGCCAATAGTTTTTTAGTGATATCTTTTGGTTTATTGTTATTTCCGTACTATGATAATTATATTTAACTAATTAAGTTAAGATTATATGACAATTTGTATATATACAAATACACAATATATTCTTATGAGATATATACACTACATTAATAATTGTTACAAGACTTGCAACATTTTCATCGAAGCTCACGTTTTTGTAGCAAAAATTTGAGCTAAGCTGTTACCACCAAGTGAATATTCAACATGATTGCTGGAAAATACGATAGAATAAGCTCTCTTCCTGATGCAATCCTCGTCGATATACTCTCTTTAATCGCCCTGAATGATGCTGTCACCATGAGCTTTGTATCGCGGCGATGGCTGCATCTATGGGCTGAAGTCACAACTATATATATTGTGATTAAGCAGTCCAAAGGACCCTTTAAGTATTGGACTACCTCCGCCAAAAAAATACTGCCAAAGCTCACTTCGCCGCTCATTCGAAGATTTTGTCTAGACATAGAGTGCGGTGTTAACAAGTATGGGTTGGAACAAATTGATTTGTGGTTTAATCGTGTTTCAGATCGATGGAAGATCGAGGAGATCAAGGTATCAACAAATGGTTACGAGGGTTTAATCTCTTTTCCCGTGATATTCCAAATACACTCGTTGTTAGTGCTTGAATTGTATGGTGATATATCTTTGAATTTGCCTCTTAATGTGGTTAAGATCCCGAATTTAAAGAAGCTTGCTATACAAATCAATTTTACTCAAACAAAACAGTGCATGTTTTTCGAAACATTAATGAAGTCTTGTCCATTACTCGAAGACTTGAGTTTACATTTTTGTGCTATAATATGTAGGACAGGATATTTGGTTCCAAATAAAATTTCATTATTAGGTCCAAATTTGAAGAAATTGAATATTTCGTTTTCAGGCCAAAATCTTATGAAAACTATTGTAATTGATGCTCCTAATTTGGAGTGCTTAAAATTGGGTTCTTCTAATTATGGTTTGCCAAATTTTAGCTTTGTCAATACCCCTACTATGTTAGTTGAAGCTTATATAAGTGGCAATCTTAGTAAAGGAGAGGTGACAACAAAATTTTTTAACGCGATTTCTAGAGTAAGATCTCTTGGTGTATGGAGACCTATGATAGGAGGTGCAATGACAACAATGTTTGTTAATTTGACTCGTCTTATATGTACCATGCCTTGTTCCGGGAAGGACTCAAAGGCGCTCTTAGGATTACTCGAAAGATGTCCTCTACTAGAGACTCTTACCGCTAACTTCACAAGTTCCGGTACATGGGAATACATGTGGCTCCTTTGTTATCTTGAGGCTCCAAACGTATTAATCCGTACCAAGAAGGTAGAGATGCACTTTATGTCTTCACTAATGCTCAACAATGATGCTTTGAATCTAATAAAGTACTTGCTAACTCGTGCACGCGTATTGGACCGGTTTATTATCAAGATTACTACTGATCCAAGTGGTGAGATCTTAGAAGAAGAAAAAGTGCAGGAAGTTGAAGCTTGTAAGGAGATATTTGATTGGCTAAGATTTTTATCAACGGGCTACCAAGTTGAATTTTGGGGAAGATATCTCAGAATTATACAATCTGGTGAAGAATGCAAGTTTATAAAGGGACCTAATGGCTACATAATCTGTAAGTGAAGCATAAATTAAATCATCTTGCAGCTGATTAATAAAAAATTTCTGATTTCTCAACAACAACTCTTCCTATGAGCAACTTCATAGATCTATTACAAATTGTCCATAGATTTTTTATTTTGATTTTATGGTGTCTACACGCTATGCACACAAAATGGATTGTTATTTTTTTTTTATCATAATAAAAGTCTAGCAAAGGAGATCCTAAGCTGTTGAGAAGTACAGGCATCTGCAAAGAGAGGCACACCTAGAGTACTACCAACTCTACTCAAGGAATCCTCAGTCCAGCAATGAAGAGGAAGGTTAGGCAATCTAAAGAGAGCTTGCTTGCAATACAATGCAAGGTTTGAAGAGCGCCATATAGTATATGCTATGTTGATTTAGTTATGGAAGAACTTTTGTTTGTTATTGACTCTTTTGATTTGATTGATTACATTTGTGGCAATACACGGACGTATCAATTTGCAAAAGGAAACAATATTGAAATTTCTTTTATTTTCTTTATTGTAATCCTTTGAAGATACATTGTTGCTTAATTGATATTAATTGATGATAATTTCTTTTTTAATTGTGGCACTATGAGAAGGGGATATTTTGGGGTTTGCTCTCCTCTCATTAATAAATAATAACCTATACTTCTAATTTTCCCCTGGTCACCTGCAACTAAAAAAATCCAACAAATTTAAAAATGGTTTTTGGTGACGAGGTGGTGGCTGGTTGTTGGTGGGTATTTGGTGGGAGGAGAGAATGTACATGAGTGAGTTAGAGAGGTGAAATGCATGAAGTATTGAAGTATACATAAGAGTAAGTTTGTTTATTAAAATTAATATACGGACGTGACCTAGTAAAACACAGGCGTGATTTAGTAACCCTTATGCTAGGGCTTTTTTGTTGCCAAGTTATTTGGGATTTTGTTCAAACAATTAGACTGATAACAAAAATTAAACTTTTAATTAAAAAGTTAGGGAGCCAAGGATCGTGTCGTCTCTTTAATTGTCGAGCACAAATTTGAGTTTTTATGAAAATATGATACATTGTTGCTTAATTGATATTAATTGATGATAATTTCTTTTTTAATTGTGGCACTATGAGAAGGGGATATTTTGGGGTTTGCTCTCCTCTCATTAATAAATAATAACCTATACTTCTAATTTTCCCCTGGTCACCTGCAACTAAAAAAATCCAACAAATTTAAAAATGGTTTTTGGTGACGAGGTGGTGGCTGGTTGTTGGTGGGTATTTGGTGGGAGGAGAGAATGTACATGAGTGAGTTAGAGAGGTGAAATGCATGAAGTATTGAAGTATACATAAGAGTAAGTTTGTTTATTAAAATTAATATACGGACGTGACCTAGTAAAACACAGGCGTGATTTAGTAACCCTTATGCTAGGGCTTTTTTGTTGCCAAGTTATTTGGGATTTTGTTCAAACAATTAGACTGATAACAAAAATTAAACTTTTAATTAAAAAGTTAGGGAGCCAAGGATCGTGTCGTCTCTTTAATTGTCGAGCACAAATTTGAGTTTTTATGAAAATATGCTACTCTTAAGTATTAATATCTGTAAGCGTGTACAAATTGATGGAAGTTTTTATATGATTTTATTTTTAATTTTAAAAACACCCAAAATTAATTAGCAAACTCTATCTCTCTCTATATATATATCTTATAAGAAGAAGCACTAAGATCAAACTCAAAAACCCTATACAATTTGAACAATGGTTACCAAGAGAACGAGATAAAAGAAGATGCACCGTAGTGGTGGCCTGGAGGAGACAGATTGAGCTCTCTTCGTAATTGCATCCTCATCGATATTCTATTTTGTCTTCCTATCAACTCCGCGGTTGCCACCGCTGTTTTATCGTCTCGATGACCTAATTTATGGACTCAAATCACTTCTCTCAATATCAGGAGCATACTTTTCAAAGGTGATAAACACAATAATTTTGAATATATTGATGCTGTCAACAAGGTCTTCAACAAGTTCACCTCTCCAATTATTCGTAGTTTAACTCTCCATTTTCATGACCCGGGTTTTGGTCGTTTTGTCCTCGATTCATGGTTACAACAGATCCGTCATCGAAAATTCGAAGACATCTGTTTAAGACTTGTTAATGATGATGAAGTTGCACCGATGAAGTTCCAAGTCTTCTCGTATATATTACAAACTCCTTCATCGGTAACACTTGAAATATGTTAGAAAATATTATAGCTATATATTAATTAGGCGGTAGTCTTTAGTAGTTTACAATTTATTACTCTGGTAGTTGTTAATTTATTGTACTAAAGCCCTTCCTATAAATGTGGTTGTAAATTGGTCAATAAAAAATACACAAGAATTAAAAACCCCAAATAAACTGTTCTTTAACTTTTCACTTGGTATCAGAGCCAGGTTCCGATCTCCGGCGATTGGCAACCGTCGGCCTCATCATATACCATGGAACCCGAGAAACAAGCCATTGTGTCAAAACCAGTCACTATGGACGACCTATTGCAACTGTTTACACAGTTAAACACCAACAAATCAGCCATAGAAACGTCAAACCAAGCCATCCAAATTTCCGAAAAATTAAACCACATTAATTATACTAAGTGGTCAAAACCGATGCAACTAGCAATTGGTGGACGGGGGAGGCTCAGCCACATCACAGCCCCTCCACCGCCTCCAACCGACCCAGAACATACCAAATGGACTCAAAGTGATTCTATTGTCATATCATGGATATTTTGACAATATTGAACCAGAATTACAAAACCAATTTCTCGATTACCCAACGGCAAACGAGTTATGGAAAGGCATCGAAACAATGTACGGAAGCGGCAGGGACGATTTACAGATCTTTGATCTCATGACCAAAGCAAATAAAATCCAGCAAGGATCAGACGCAATTGAGGTATATTACAGTAAACTCACCTCAATTTGGAAAGAGATAGATCAAAGATTACCGAACCCAATGCAATGCTCAGAAGACAAAACGATATATAACCAGTTAGTACAGCAAAACTGTCTTTATCAGTTCTTAGCGGGACTCGATGAGACTCTAGATCAAGATCGAAGGGACTTGGTTAACTCAGAGCCTCTTCCAACAGTTGAAGCAGCATATGCGACAATCAGGAGAGAAATCTCTCGAAGGGGAATCATGAAAAACAAAGAGACAACCCCAACAGAAGATTTCGGAATTGGAAGTGGTCTCGCGGCTAAGGGAAGAATGGAGAAGCCGAAATTCCGGCGGAACGATGATAAATTGTTATTTGGCATGATTTTAGGGTACTTTTGAACCTTGTTTTCGTTATTAATCGACATCAAAGTTCATTTTTTATCCTATTTTTATGCAAATTTTGTACCATCCATGCTTCACCGGTTGTTTGTGTTTTTGATGTAATGTAGCTATTTTTAGCACTATGGACATGATCAAGCATGAGTGAGAAAGGATAAGGGCAAGCTTGGTTGATAGAGCCATGGAGGAAGAAGGAGGAATGCCTTAAAGGGAAATGAAAAGCTTTTGGAGAACCTTGAAAGGTCGTTTGCGTAAGCGTCAACTTCAACCAACCATAAATTTTTATCTTATCAACCTTTTGAAGCGATTAAAATTGGAGATTAAAGTTCGTCTCAAGAGCTATCCAACGGCTGCTTACATGCCTTATTCCAATGAGTAATGAAGAAGTTATGACCTTCCGAAATGAAGCTGTTTCGCCAGAAAAAGCTGCACGTTCGTGCCAATTGATGCACGTCCGTGCCAATTGATGCACGTCCGTGCAAGGTCAGGCAGTAGCTATTGTTCTCATTTTAACTGGTCTGCACGTCCGTGCAACCTTTGGCACGTTCGTGCCGACCTGTAGACGGGCCGATTCTTGGTTTCTCCGTCCTTTTACTTGGGGGTTATATAATATCCCTTTAGCTTCATTTGTAAAAAGGGGGATCTTCTTAGTTTATTTTTAGCTGAGGTTAGGGTTTTTAGAGAGAGAAACTCTCATTTTCTAGAGAGAGAAAGTGAGAAAATCTTGTTGAAAGCTTGGAATATGAAGAATTGAACGAAGGAGACTTGAAGATTTGGATACTCCTTGCAATATCAATGAGAATTTCTTACTCTCTCTCCTATTTTGTTATTCTATTTACTTATTTTTGTATATTTTCATCCTTAATTACTTGTTTATGTTAGATTAGTGTTTGTTTCATGTTCTTAGTTGTTAATTCCTTTAGTTTTGCAATTTATTATGATTTGTGAGTAGTTCTTTTACTTGAGATTGTTGAAATCATTGATGAATTCACAAATACTTGTTTGTATGTGTTGATTTAGCTAATGTGGGATGTTAATTAGTTGAGCTTAAGTGGTTTCATTGTTAGTTCTTGTAAGTGGCCATTGCTAGAACTATTTATCTAAGCTTTCTCAACGAAGGATCGAGAGATGAACTTGAGTTAGCTCCCTTATGCTTGATTGACCCGAAATGCCATGAGAATAGGAATTTCCGATCAAGGGAATGTTTATGTCATCGTGATTATGCTTTAACACTTGTTTTATGCTTTGTAACCACGAGAGTAGGTTGTATTCATGATTCAAGTAATCCCTCTAGCTTGAGAGAGTAGTTGGGTGCCTTAGATGACTTTCCCTAATTTTATCCCCAAATTTCTATGACTTGTATGTTAAATTGTAGTTTGTGAACGACTTAATTGGTGGATACCTTCCCGAGATCCTCTTTATTATTGTTTGTAGTTTTTCTTCATAACTCATAACCCAAAAAGACTTGACTTAGCTTATCACAAATCGATATTTGTTAGTGCTCCCCTTAGTCCTTGTGGGATCGACCCTTACTTACCCTTTCTACCCATTAGAGAGACCAAGTTAGGTTTTTATCTTTGGTAGGCTCGACGACGGCCTATCAAACGACGACCGAGCACACCTTCGATGTACCCATTGTGGAGGAACCCGACATACAAAAGAGGGTTGTTTCAAGATTATAGGGTACCCGGAGTGGTGGGCTGATCGGAAGATAAAAATGGAAAGCCA